AGAGCGGAAATGAGCTATTTCTCCAATGTTAACACCAGGTGCGGAAATGTGATTATTTTCATGCAGGGCTAGAAAAATAATTTTCATCACAAGGTCGAAAGTGTATTTAAAGCCTCGCTCATTTTCTAGCCTCGACCTCGTCTTAGTCGGTAAACATGAGCTCGTGTCGAAAAAAATCCACTTTCCGCATTAGTGATGAAATACACTATTAAATAATTTTGTATTGTATGTTATACACTTTATGTCAGAGACAAGTAAGAATGAAACCAACACAACAACAAACCCTCCAACTAATTTCTCGTACTCGACTTCTCTTTGTTTCCACTGAGTCATCCAAAACAACAATAGTGCTAAAACAAAACCAAAAACATTGGGTGAGTAAGAATTTCGGTATTTTAGTTGACCTAGGAACTATGTAATTATGCAAAAGAGCTAAAAAGACGTAAAGAGATCATGAGTCATGCTACAAACCAGCTCCTGTTGGACAAAGGCGTGGGGACAATTAAAATAGCTAATTAATTAAATTGGTTCTCGATCTACTGGGTGTGGTGGCCATGTGTTACATAGCAGACTACGCAGCATGCTGCAACGAGGGCAATTACAACCCGTGCGTTACTCCGGGGTCAGTGGAGTTTAATGGCGAACTTTACCAACGATGTGGAGTAAATAACAATTAAAGCGACTTAACAGCAAAGAGCAAATGGCACGTTTATTGTCCTGGAAGAAAGAACAGAAAGGACATTATGCTCTTCCTTCATTGTCAAGTTTCTTTGACAACCAAAATGGAGGTTAAGAATTAATTATAACCAATTCTAGTTATATTTAAATATTTAATAATAAAAGCACTATGAAAAATTGTCCTCTAAATAAAATTAGTGTTTGTCGTACCGTAACAAATTTCATAAATAATTATCTTATGAGTTTTCATAAATGATTCATCCTACGTCATAAATTAGTTTTCTGCAAGCGAAATACGGTGGGCAGTTAAATTTTTTACTTACAACGGATATGAATTAATTTCTATAACGATATGTTATTTTTTAAAGACTGTAAATCACCCAACAAACCTAACCCCTCCCTTGGTCCCTTAAAATACAATAATTATACTACCCAAAAAAAGTACAGTTGTTCTAAACAATAATTTAGACTGGTTACTTGTTCTAACTAACTGTGTAATGTTATTGGTCCTAAACAAACTAACATAATATCATTGTTAGTTAATAGGTAGTTAGATAATTTGCAGCCCCAGTGGCCATATATTTCCAGACTGCCGTTAAATAGTATGAAATAGTCCAACATATTTCAAGGTTGTCCGCAGTAGGTGAAATGTATACCTTGCTAAACCTCAATATCCCTTTGAGTCGATTTCACAGTTACTTTTGAACAACTATTCACAATGTCACTGTTACTTTTGAACAACTATTCACAATGTCACTGTTACTTTTGAATAACACCTCACAATGTCACTGTTACATCCACTGCAAATCACAAAGACACAGTTAACTTATCACAATTGTCACGTATTCGTTACGATAGATACAGTTCTCAGGGTAGAGATATCGATATATCGAACCATTCAGTGAAATCAGGCACCAATCACCATTACATTACGTTACCAGTTAATTGTCGTGCGAAACGGTTGATCTGTTATAACTGCGATGAAAGTTTCCAACAATCGATTGCAACGGTTTTGTCTCACGTTTGTATGTGGGAATTGTCGATTTGATTGTAAACTTAAGTTGTCACTCGATGTGGGTCGAGGTGTATTAGAATCAACTATTTGCTGAGTTATAATGAAAAGTGTGTGGGAAAGTTGAAAAGAGAAATACAGCTTGATGTACGCGAGTGGAATAACATGTTGTGGTTTGACGAGAAACGTAGATTGGTAAAGACTAATGAAAAGCTTTGTTGAGGAAATATTCGTAGTGATTTCATTAAACTCAGTTAATTTGGAACAGTAACTTTGGTTAATGAAATAACGTGTCTTGTCCTGAAATCTTGCTTAGTTTGAATTGCGTTCAATGATAACAGATCAACCGTCACGGGTTTTGTAATGTCAGGTTGTAAAATAAAGGCGTCTACCACTGACTTTTTATACTGAAGTCCCATATTTAACAATTAGTTTTTGTTGTAGCCATTTTTGCCAATGACTTTTCTACTTCATGATTTGGTTTTGATTTTAATTGGTGTTTTTATTTAAGTTATATACAACTCTCAGCGTAACAAAACTACTGTAATCACTTAATCACTTGAACTAAAATAGCGAACCACTTTTAGTACTTACTTAACATGCATTTATGTTGAGTGTAGAATAGAGTGAGATAATCCGTGTAAGCCATCTGTTGACAAATATTAGCTGGCTCAGTCAGGGACCAATTAGGTTTTAGGTTTTAGGTTAGGCAGGGTGTTGGATTTTAGTCCAATCATCAAGGAACCAGAAGTTTAAATCAAAATATCTTCTGATATTTATTTGTCACTATTGAAAATATGTGTAACAGTATAGGTGACGTGATTTCAATAGAATTGCCATAAAAAGAAATTCACAGAGGCAATGTATTTACAGTGTTTTGAGGAAATGCAAGAATCCCTTCCAAAGTTGTCTTTTGAATACTACGGCAGCCATCCCAACTAGATGAGCAGCTCTTAAAGTGTGTTACTGTCAAAACTCTATATTCTCTTTTAGTTTCATATACTTTGATAATTAATGTGACAAAAAATATGATGTAGCTTACATTAAAAACTCCTTTTGAAAAGTGTTTGGTAAAAAGATCTTACTTACCAAAGGTTAGAAATCGGTAATTGATATAGAACAAATCTGTCTCTGGCTCAATTTAATAGTATTAATCATCACGTAAAAACTGGCTAAAACTTAAAATAGGAATGCGTGTACTACCCATATTCTGAGCCAAAGAGCGAGCTGGTGTAGTAGAGCGCGGGACTTCGGTCCCTGAGGTCCAGGGTTCAAACCCCACCAAATCACTAATGGATTTTATTCAAGTTATAATACCGCAACCCCTAGGTCTAGCCTGAAGTAATGTGAAAAAACTCTATAGTCAAAGCTTCCACTCTCGTTAAACCAAGAGCTGACCCTCCAGGAGCTGATCCTCCAGGAGCTGACTCTCTAGGAGCTGATCCTCTAGGAGCTGATCCTCCAGGAGCTGATCCTCCAGGAGCTGATCCTCCAGGAGCTGATCCTCCAGGAGCTGATCCTCCAGGAGCTGATCCTCCAGGAGCTGATCCTCCAGGAGCTGATCCTCCAGGAGCTGATCCTCCAGGAGCTGATCCTCGAGGAGCTGATCCTCCAGGAGCTGATCCTCCAGGAGCTGATCCTCCAGGAGCTGATCCTCCAGGAGCTGACCCTCCAGGAGCTGATCCTTCAGGAGCTGATCCTCCAGGAGCAGGTTTCTGCGAGTGCCTTTGTTCACGCGTCTGCTCTAATTGTATTTGCATGACAGAAGTTCACTTTCAGCAGTTTCCAGACCGTAACGTGGGTCCTGCGACCTAGTTTCACTCTCAGAATGTTTGCGCCTCTTCATTACGGCACGCGCCGGCGCATATCGCCTAGTTTCCCTCCTCGTCTGACTCGTGACAACGCATGCGCCGAGTGGGTGGATCTCGCGCTCTTGTTTCAAACGCGCTGAACGCAGGATGTAAAGGAGGAGAAAGTGAGTGTTTACCCTGTGGTGTGCGATAGTTCTCTTTGCTGTTTTGTATTGTCGCTGGTTATGAAAATCAAAATCGGTTTGTGCATTTCTATGATAGTCTTATGGTGGCTGTGATCACAGCTGATTGTTGTTAGGTCTTCGGTTGATGATTGCGTCGTTGAATAAGCTGAAAAGTTGAATAGTGGTTTGTCCGGAAGATGGATGGCTGCTATGCATCCGAAACGTTTGCCTCTACTACTAGTAGTCTTAATCGTTCAACAACCTGGACATCACCAGAACACCTAGGTTTGACAATCGGTTTGAGAATTGCCTCAAATGAAGGGTCGTCCTTCTTCAGTTTAAGGTTATCTAAAATATCAAAAGTGGCTGCAGTTACGCTGATGATACTTTTCATTAGCACACCTACGTAGAATTGGGGTTTACTAAATATATAAACATTTAAAATTAAAGCTTTATAAATACATTTGTAAATTGTAGTTCTATTCTTGTTTTCAAATTGTATATTTCTAACATAGTTTAGTTCTTGCCAAAACAATGTTTCGGACATAAATAACATTCGAAATCATTTTTGAATGTATGTTCCGTACAGACAACAATATTGGTGCTGAAGCGAATTTATTTCCAGAATTTTCTTTTTACTGGATATTGATTTTTGTTTGGTTACTAAAGACTATGTTGGCCTCCAAAAGTCATGATAACGCTGAAGTTGTGTTCATTTTAAATTCACAATCGAAACTTTTAAGAATGCAAACATCCCTCAACTGCGTCCGATTGTGAACGTCCCTGTAACATTCGTAGAACATTAAAAAACCCTTCTTGTTGCTTAAAACCATGAACATCATATCTTCCATTTATGATTCAGCTTTGTATTGTTTCAACATCTGGAATTGATTTGAACATAATCAAATCACTAGTAAAGAACAGAATGAATATCTTGATTAGAAGACAACAATTAGTCATTGGCTCTGTGAGGTCGACAATAGTGAGTGAATTGGTCATTCGCACAAAGATTTCGCCTATTGTGTCTCTGATTTAATTAATCCTCTTCCTCAGACCACCAAAGAAGTATTGTGATCAGCGGTAGGACGTATTGCCGAATCATCTCTTCTTTTGGTGGTCTTTGATCACTCTCTTGACCTGGCAAACATTCCTTGGAATCGTGATTCTGCAGTATAAGCATTATGTGAACATGGAGTTTGTAATCTTATGTCAAGTAATGTTGTTTAGATTTTGATTGAATCCTAAAATAATGGACAATCCCTTTTATTTGTCCATGAAATTAATTAGTTTAACACAGTGCAAGAACACAGATCACACAATGAATCGACTTAAAACTGAATCTTGTGTAAATCTGTATTTCAGTAAAACATTTACTCCTAATATTCTGTTACATTGCAGTGTTTTGTCACATGCATAAACATGCCACGAAGAGTTCCCATGCTGACGTAATTAGTGCACGGATAAATTTGGCATCTCAATTAGTATGGCATGTTTCTACTGTTCTTTTGGATACAAGTAGTTTGCTTGTTAGTTAATACAACAACCTCGTGCATGTTATACAATACATTAACGTCCTTATTGAGAACAAACATTTCTGATATAGATAAAATTTAGGTAGTAAACTAAAATACCTTTTGCTTGTATTTGTATTTTTTATTAAAAAAAATTAAAGCTGCTACCAAAGTCATTTATTACAATGATTATTATGAACAAGAAATCGAGGAGATTTAAATACTATCCATAATAACGATTGTATGTTAGGAAATATCCTTGAAAATCTATATTAGAAGTGTATAATATAGCCCCTATAGCAAAATGTATAATCTTTTTTCTGTGATTGTATTTTGTAAAGATACTCCTGACGTTTTGAGACACAGACACATTAAAGGTTTTGTATGTCGTGATCAAGATTAAACCCCTACTTTTTGTTGAACATTTTTGGATATTTATCAACCAATTTTGGACCCATATAAGAGCTAAAACAATCATTGAGTAAAAATAAATAGTCTAAGGTAAATGTTATCGTCATGTAGTAAACAAAATAGCTCTCTTTGACATACCAGCACCAGGTAAACTAGTGATACATCAAAGACCCGATAGATACTCATCTTAAAATAGATAATGAATTAAAGAAAGCTTTGAACTTTGTGTATCTTGTTACATCAAAACAATCTAAGCAGACGGATTACAATTTATGGAAAACAGCTTCTAAATCTGTATCAACTGGAACCTCTGGTCGTCTAGAAGACGGAAGACGTCTTCTCTGTAATGTACAAGGTCCTCCAGGAAGCGGCGGCTGCTGTGGCTATGAAGCGCCTCCATGACGGGAGGTACAGGCTGGAGGCCAGCCTCCTGGGTGAGACTGAGGAAGTACTCTGTCTGGCGAGGGCCTAACATGTGGTACTGCCGAGGCGAGAGGCCATCAGCCTTGCATCTGGCCACCACGGCCTCCGTGTGCTCCTGCATGGCCAAGGATGAGGGTAGCTTCAGAGAACCCTGGAGGACTTTGGTGAAGTAGCGTGCCTATGATCATAGTTCAGGTGTTTTAGACCAAGGAGTTTGTCAAATGAATGCATCAATCCATGGGAAAGTAATAGTTATAAATGCTGAAGAAAGGACTAGAGCCATGGTAGAATTGGGTCGGTTTTATGCAATGCAAATGTTCCTTTTCTAAGAATTGGCTTACACCTATCAACCTTTTGTAAGTTGGCATTATTAATTGATAGCTCTATGGTAGGTATAATCTAAAACTAAATAGATCTCAAACGGTATCAAACAAAAACATTTAGATTTGAAGATAGGCACAACGACTTGACTTCTAAGCTGTCTAGAAAAAACAGTTCTCAAGTTAGAGACAGATCTAGAATATAATGTAATAAAACGTTTAACGAATGCTACTACCACTTTTTATTATGTCAAAACACTGCTTTCACCTTCAGATCTTTGTTTGGAGGAGCTGTTAATTAATCTCTTTCGCTTGCTTGAATATTTTTCCTGTTATGAAAGTTCAACTACGGGTTTCAACAGCTCTAAAACATCTTGGTATATTTTTCACTTCCCTGTTTGATTAGGCAAACAAAAAATAACAGTTGGACTGTTAAACACAATTATTATTTTCTTAGAACCCTTCTAATGATAATGGTTCATCTAAATCTGCATTATAAAAAAATAAATTTACGGATATATGCTAAAAACGTTAAGAAAATGTCCATGATTTGACAAAAACTTTACATTTACACACTAATATTTTCAAAAATACTCGGTACAGTTGTGTTAGTGTACAGAATATGTTTTACCTGCACATCGAACATTGTGAAAGCACAAACGTAGTAAGGCAGCCCTATGAAGCACATGGTTGGTCGATGTATGTGGACCAGGTGTTTGTACAAAGGCTGTACAAAGTTATCCTCCACTGTCACACCACACTCTGGGCTGAGGAAAGGGAAGCTGTACCGGTATCCTGGTAGAGGTTATGACATGTATGTGAAATATATAAACGATTTATTTTATTTTTTATTTTATTTACAAAGGGCTTCCATAGTCCTTATAAAAAAATCAATGTAACTTTTGGTCTTGTGCTCTAACAGTTTGCCCAAAGAGGATGTTTTTACTTTCTCCCCCTAATATAGTATATGCAGAAAGTATTGTTTTCGTCCGAAATTTTTAGTTTGCGTTTTAGGTTGAAATATTCGGTTTGGGTTTCCAAAAAAAGTGGCTTTGAAATGTGTCTCTCTGTGAGTATACGTGTACAGAGCTACATACTACTGCTGTGGTCAGCAACTTGGTGTGCAACTTTTGTGAATGTATCCATAAATTGTCATCGTTACTTGAGCATTATAAGAGTTGTGACAAGCTTGTTGTCCCTTTCCCTTATAGGTTCTTTTACCTAGGAGCAATTTGTCACTTATATTTTTTTACTATGGCCAACACAAATGTCTTACTCATATGCCATCAAACGGCACAATTTCTGCACACAGCTAAATAATAAAATACCCCCGCCGCAGCAAACCTGCAGACTAAGCGAATTTCCATTTGCCTGATTGGATTTACACTAAAATGTATCCTTAAAAATATCACATTTATCCCTATTTAAATAGAATCAGTTTAACACATACTTAGGTTTGCTGCAACAGGGAGGGTAAAGGTGTTTTTTATGTAAAATGTTAATTGTTAGTAAGAAATAAAAACATGTTCCAAATTTGGGCAAAATATGTTAATAAACAAGCAAACTACAACAGTTTACTTATTCTCCATAAGAATAACATGGGGATTTTAAATTTGCAATTTTTTGGAACTTTCTCCGCAACCATTAGGCGCATTATAACGCTTCAATATACTAAATTATTTGTTTTTTTAAGCTCTACAAAATAGTTTTTAAAGAAATTGCGAAATTTGATGTTTTTTGGGTAAAAAATGGGAAAACCCCATTTTTACCCCATAAAACCCCCCATAAAACCCCGTTCCCATGGTCCGATCATGCTGGTTCGCGAACTCGTTCGAATAAACGTAGGTTTACACGTTTGTACCAAATTTAATCAAAATCGGAACATTTTTGCTCGAGTTATCGCGCTAACGGACACATATATATATAAATATATATATAAATATATATATATATATATAAATATATATATATATATATGAATTTGAACGGATGGTGTTTTTGGCCTCTAGGGACCTCAAAACGGAAAAAAAAATCGGTCCCGGGTCCAGGTCTTACCATGAGTACTACGGTAATAGCTTATTCCCTATATGGGAAATTCGCTAAAATTAAAAAAAATTAATTAAAAAAATAATATGACTAGAATAAAATATATTTGTCATAGTATTGCATAAAGGGCTTTAATGTAGGACCCTTACCAGTGCAGTAAAATAAGACGTCTGCTTGAACCTGAGATCCGTCCACAAACGTCACACAGGACCCTGAAACGGACTGAATGTCCGGTTTCTGGACCAAATTGTCCGGGAACTTAGTCAAAATCTCGTCCTTCAGGTGATGACTCAGAATCACCTAAGAAACAATTCATTGAACCACAAAAAAAAATAATTTAAGACACAATAGTGTTTTTAGATGAAACACTTGATCGAAACTCGAGAAGATTGATTGTAAATTAGTTGATGTAATTAAATACACTTTGTCTATTTCTTATTTGGTTTGAAATTTACCGAAATAAATTCTGTCAGCCTTCTGACAGTTTTATCATTGATCAAAAATGGTCTTGTTGATAATTTTAACCTCTGTAATCTTATAGATCATCAAATTATGATTTTAATTGATTTTTCTTCACGTTTTGATGTTTACTGTTTTATCAACCCTTTAACTATCATAAATGAATAAAATCTTTCACTCATTACATTCTGGTATAAAAGTAACCTATTGGCTGAAATTACAAAGCAGAACACAGAGTTTTAACATCATACACAACGGAAAATTCGGTTTATATCAACGTAACGCATTCGGACATGAAACAGTTGTTCAAACAATCTTCAGCTTGTAAAATATGCTGTTGAATCTACTTGTAATACACAAAGTCAATTATCCAACCCAACATTCTATGTAGATTTAACTTTCGTCTCATGATATCAAAGCGTAATTCAAAATACAATAGTGATTTTTTGTATGACCTACGGGTTGATAAAAGTTATAATAAGATATTAACAAGACCATGGTTTGGACCGTTCCCTTTTAAAACAATAAAAAAATCAATTGGTGTAGAGAACACACAAAACACCCTACTCAGCCAATATGTTCAACATTGCCAATAGTAATCTTTAAGCAATAATTTACCTGTTTAGCAACCGCAGTTATTTCCAGAGCAATGTCCAAGCCACTGGGGCCAGCGCCCACCACCACGACTGTCTTGTTAGCCAGAGGGGCGGGTACCCTGTAGTGGTGACTGTGTAGACGGAGGCCAGGGAACGTGTCTGCCCCTGGGATGTCAGGGTACCTAGGGGTGTGGTAGTGGCTGGAACATAAAACAAACTTGTATATAAAGTAGACAACCGGTTTTGTAAAGCATTCAAAAGGTTTAAGCGCAATCAAAAGGTTGCCAGATAAATTTCGAAGAAAATCAGTAGCTTTTTTAATTGTTGGAGCTGGTCCCAGCTGTCCCTGGTTGTTGGGCTTCAAAATTATTAAACAGCTGATCTTAGTCAGTAACATTATCATCCCATTCCATTCTCTACTCATTCTTCACTCATATTTTGGTTAAAATACGCACTGAGGTGGAGTCCATCTCACTTATTGATAATAATAATGATATATTTTGAGTATACCAGAAGAAATAACATATTTTAATGATACTTTATGTAAAAAGTGTTAGATTTTTTAAATGATTTTTTGGTGGATTAAATTCCTAAAATAAAACGAAATAAACCCAATATGCTAAAGACGCATCGGAAGCCTTGTAACAATTTTTATATGTAATTATAATTTCTTTAGTTTAAATGGCCGCATGGTTACCATAGGTTCTGGCACACACCGCTGGGATTAGCTTTAAAAAGATTTCTTGCAAGGTATTTTTTTTCCAAAATTCAAATGCTTCGCACGTGTAAAACTGTGGCCAATGATTTGACAACAATAAAAGTCAGCTGTTGCGTTGAGTTTGTAACTTCTAAAACTGATCGGAAAAGAACTGTCCGGCAAAAAGAGGCTTTCACCATACGATTAACATGTAAATAACGTTAGTGTTCGGAAAAGAAAACAAGGGATCATATGTTATTTTAAATTGAAAACAGCAAGTTTCCACCCGTATTTTAATATTGAAAGTCATATGTTCCCGCGTAGCATGACGAAATAATAATAATCAGGTGTTTTACCTTAAACTAAGTCCATTGGACCAGTGGGGCATTACATTTCTCTTCAACCTCTTTATATTTAAATGATTTATTGTATTTATGCATTTCCCTTGATATGATCGAGAAGTCGTATATAAAAACATTGTATTCTAAAAGGTTACTAGGTTTAGAAAATTTTTTTGTGATGTAGGTCTTTCTTTAGACCAGGGAGTATCGCTTAATGAATTTTACCGCTTTAAAATTCACAAACAGTGTTATCAAAAGCTCACCCGTTACACACCATGATGGCGTCAAAGTCTTCCACAGTGTCCTGTTTAGTGGTCAGGTTCGTCACAGTTACTGTCCATCCTGACTGGTTTGGCTGTATTTGCTTGATGAGATGACGAAACTGAAATTTTCATTTTAATTCACTAACAGTTTTACAACAATTTAACAACTGGACTAAAGGCTACCTATATCTAGAAAGTGATTAAGCTGGACCTTGATTACATTATTTATGTTTAAAGTGATTTAAGATCAGCTAAGACTGGATGGGTAGCTGGTGGTTATAGTGCTCGCCTAACAATCAAAAGGTGCAGGATCGATCCTGAGAAAAGTCAGTAGCTTTTTGATGGTTTGATACTGGACGCAGCTGTTCCTGGTCATTGGGCTTTAAATAAATGATCCTGACTAATGAAACAGCTGATCTTAGTCAGTAACAAAGGTACACAGATCATCCCACTCTATTCTACACTCATCCTTCACTCATTCCTCATATTTGGGTTTAAATACGCACCTAGGTGGCGTTCCCATCTCAACTTATAATAATTGATAAACATTGCCAAAAATTGTTTAAAACCCCTAAAAAATAAAGACACGTATATCATCCCCACCTTGATGTGTTGTTTTAGTTGGAAATGTTCAGCGTAGTTGTCTAGGAACCGTAGAATGTCTATGGCGGGCAAATACGACCGAGGCTGTTCTGGTATAGGGAAATCAGGAAACCCCATCACTTCTTTGGGTAAATTAGTCCTGGAATATACAATATGAACAATAGCTGTATTCGTACATAGCTATCACTACAGTCATAGCCATTTATAACTCGAACGTTTACATCCGTTTTTTACTTGAGTACAAAAGTATCTAACACTTGCAGAAAGAACCATCATCAAAATAAATACTCAGCCATTGGAGGAATACTGCAAAATCTGTCATTTCATCTCAAATGTGTTCAAAATGTGGTATCAAAAAAATACACACACGATTTACCTTGTCAAATTACTTAGTGGTCTCAATTTAGAGTGATTTCCGGGGGATATCACTTCAGTCTCTAAAGGATGGAACTATAAACCCAGATGCAATTTTTCATTGGGCTTTCATTAAAGAGGACATTTCCTTAAACTTATATTATATGCACTGTTCTTTTCCATAAATAAAAAACTTCCAATGGTGGAAAACGCAAAACAAGAAATTATAAAATAAAAGTTTATGATCCATTTGAATCAAATAAAAATTGAACTTGCTATAATGGTTTAGTGATCCTAAATCTAGTCAACAACTAAACATGAAAAATACTTATTCATAAGATTAGGTAATTTTAGCAGTTTTATACCTCACTTTATTGATGTAAAAATAATACTATGCAAAGTTAGTATAAGCTATAAACTATTTTCTATCAGCTGTCTTACCCATCGATATAGTCTAACTCTTACCGGAGACTTTTATACAGCGAGGAGTGTACAGGCAGACCTGTAGATGGGTCAAGTTCTGTGTGTTCTGTATACACCCATGTACCTCCCAGCTGATCAGTCTGTTCGTACACCACGACGTCCATGTTGCCGCCCCCACCGCCCCCGGGGGTGGTAAGGTGCCTCGCAGCGCACAGACCAGCCGCCCCCGCGCCAACCACACACACTCTCATGGCTGTGCAAGTAGGGGGAACTGGAAATAATTAGGTTCATATAGGGAAAAAGTTAAATCTATAATTTTTCGTATAGAAACTGTATAGCCTATATGGTTGAATAGGCTAGACATAAAATATTTGTATTTATATGATTAATTATTGCAATAAAAAAATGAAAAGTTTTTACCACGTGTGTCTGTAGTTTGATCCCGTCCTCAGATGATAAAGTATCTAAAACATTATAAGGTAAAACATCCAACTCAAGCCTACAACCGAAAACCCCCACAGTGAACTGCATTGTAAAGATACATAAAAACAAAGCAAGAAACAACTACAGACAGAACAAAAAATACATAAAGAAAACTATGGTTTATACATATCGTGATAGAAAATGGTTACGATAATCGATTAATAGTAAGGCTCGTGCCTTAAATTTTCTACTCGTGTCGTAAAGACTATTAACGCGAGTTGCGTACACTACTTTACCTACAACCGTTTTTTAATTACTAACAATCTGGGTTTTTTATTACTATCAATCACTACTCATAACTTCTTAGAGAGGTTATGTTTTCGTTTATTGTCAGTGCCACTGAAAGACATGCAGTGACTTATTGTATAAACAGCTGATTTCATGTAATTACGTGTTTGTAAAACTTCGTTAAATAATATGTTACATTTTTCAGGGAATAGGTTCTGCTAGCAGCATTCTTACCATAAATAATGTATCAGGTTTGTTTCGTCCATTTAATGAATTGCTGGTATGTAATTTCATACCTTTGTTTCGATTTCGGTGGCAAAAGGTTCGCTCGCACAAACGGTTTGTGCTCTCATTTACATCTCGTCAACTTCAACAAACGACATTTTTAAATCAATTTAACCTACCTTCCTTTAACTTCCACCAACTTAGGTTTAGAATGCGCGAGTATCAACAGGAACAAGTCGGTGCAACAATTAAAATTGTCAACTGATCAGCTGATCAGCTGTTTCGTTGACGCTCAAAGCATTACAATTTTACTTATTTTCTCTCAATCCTTGAACCTCATTGGTCCGTTACCCGTGTTGTTATGAGAAAAAACTATGCTGTTATGAAATTAAACTATGCTGTTATGAAATTAAACTATGCTGTTATGAAAGTAAACAGCTGTTAAGTGAAACTTTTCAATTCTAAGAACTGAACTAAAATGGCTACTTAAAAAAGCGGTCGTAGGTAAACAAACTTAACTCACCATCACACAAAATGAACTTCATCAAAGAATATGCTATTAGAAGCTGAAAATAATGCAATTTTACATTTACGAACAAAGTATCTCTTTTATATATTCTTTAATTTATGACAAAATGTACCAGATCTTAGTTCGTAATCCATTTTCAAGATGAGTATTAATATTCAAATTAAATTATATCCACCTAAATCAGATATTCATCAGGAAAAATATATAAACCTAAATTATTTCAACACCAATCTAAATGAATGTGCTTTATTGAGTTTAGTTGTGTATATTAAAACTACAGAAACCATAATAAACAGCATAAATATTACTATTATTACTAAGTGAACATACGCAAAAAATGTTGTCTAACCATGATAATTGGATTTATACATTAAGCTTAGTATTTACTCTTACAAAATTTAATTTATTGAATTATTTCGTTAAACGAGGTGTAGGGAATCGAATGTATGCAATATTGATCATATTCCAATCAATATATCGTCTCTTTTATACACTAGACACAGTGTATAGCTTTTATAAAGCAAAGAAAACACAGCTTCTTACTAACAATTACACCATAGATAAATCATACTCTCATAGATAAATCATACTAGATTTGTCATCCTTATGGAACAGCTGAAGCCAATTTTATTGTTGGTTCTGTACGTCCAACTGTAGAGGTTATGTTTTGTTTACAATTTGTTTCTTGTTATTTCAGTCATTTAAAATCTCATTTAACCAAATAAAACGATTTAATCATAAACAATAACTGGTCTCCTAGTTATATAACCAAATAGTAAAGCACAAATCATGAAAATAACCCTAAAATAATAGAAACAAAATGTTGTCTACCCCAGCGATCAGTGTGGACGTACATGAACTAGACACAAAAAACAAGCTTCAAAATTTACAATGGGATGAGGAGTCTGTTGCTTAGTCTATGATTACACTTACAAAAATATCATGGTATAATGTTTTAGTGCGTAATTTGTAATCGTGGTAAAAGGTTAAATTCATTTACGACACTTGAAGATTTCGAGGTATATACATTAAATAAAAGCACATACCCCTACTAACAAACAGAAAATAGAGTTCTCATCCCATTGTAAATTTTGAAGCTCGTTTTTCGTATCTAGTTCATGTTGGTAACACTGTAGGTAGGTTTATAGTCAATGGTAACACTGATCGATAGTGTCGACGTGATTGATTCTATTATTTTAGGGTTAATTTTATGATTTGTGCTTTACTGATGGGCTATATAACTAGGCGACGAGTCATTGTTTATGATTATATTGTTTTACTTGGTTAAACGAGGGAAATGACTGAAATAACAAGAAACAAATTGTTAACAAAACACGACCTCTACATAGTACATCTGACAGAACTAACAATAAAATTGTCTTCAGCTGATCCATAAGGATGGGGAATCTACTAAGGGAGTTTGTTTTATCCATGATAAAACTTACCTGATTAAAACGTAGTCACTGCAACCTCACAAATCTCACTTTCAGCTCAACCAAACGGCCAGTGTGATCTTCCACAGTCAGTATCATTGAATTATTGGTTTTCATTGTTATCGTTGGGCTGCTTAGTTTTTATCACCTTATCACTGTTGTATGAACTGCTTATCACACTCAGCTTCAGTGACCTTCCGAAGTGAACTGTATTCCGCTCTACTTCCTATCATTATCATGAGAAATAAACAATTACAGGAAGTAGTGCTCTAATCAGTAGAGGCTCATTGTTCATTTAAACAAAAATATTTTTTTAATTGTAGCTTTAATAGTAAAATTGCTGTTGACAATGGATATATGAAATGATAACAGATTATTTAGTGAAATATCGGCCAGGGTAAATTAAACCAAGTGTGATCTGACATTTCTGCAATTAGCTATGTAGTTTTTACTCCAAAAGTAAGTATCATCATAATCATATTGATCATACTAGTATACTGTACATTCAGATGTAAACTGAATTTTATGTGAATAAGATGCGAAGTCATCGTGGTTTTTATTGAAAAAGGGGCAAATCTAAGACTGAAATGTAAAAGTTGAATTTGAATAAACGTAAATCAAAACAATTGATTAAATAGGTTATTTTTTTAGGTGTGACTTACAATGAATGGAAGATATAAATTGTAAAAATCAAAATGTACAAATTATAGTGACAAAGAAGAATGAAAAAGAAATACAGTATTATTTTTTTTCTCAATACTTCCAAGTATTACGAACAATGTTCGTACGAATAGAAAAACTTCTTTAGATTTTAGGTGCACTCGACCAACACTGAAAATTTATAAAAGAAAACAATGTAATATTTATTCAACTTCAGTGGCTGGTTAAAAGGTTTTAGACCACACTACATTATGTCTATTGCTTGCCCATAAGATTGGTATGATCGAGAACTATAGTTTTTATTTTATTTAATTCCCACGAGTATTGTGTTTCATCTGTAAAAAAAGAGGTTGTCCACAGACAGCGGTGGGTTATATAATTGAATTTCGATCCCGAAGAAGACTTAAAAGTGTGTAGCTTTTTGATAATTCGAAACTGGACCCAGCTGCTATGGTCATCGGGCTTTTAATGGATCAATTGTTAAAACAGCTGGTCCTAGTCAGTAACAAAGCTACACAAATAATCTCACTCCATTCTACACTCATCATTCACTCATATTTAGGTTAAAAACCCACCTAGGTGGTAAAAACGTTCCCATCTCAAATGTTGATAATAATGAAGATAATTACATCACATCACAAACCATCTGTTGTCAGTTTTTCATTCATATATAAATTTAACGAATATCTCACTTAAACTGCTTTTGCCAAAATTACGTTTTCCTCCAATATCCTTGATACTATAATTGCCTACATGATCTAATGCAGACATCTGTCAACGGTTCCTCAATACATCCACTGCATATGTCCATTTCAAATTTCACACTGACAGGTGAAAGCCAATAATGTCCTATAGTATAACGGAACATAACCAAGAAATCAGCGTTTACAGCCAGCGGACCGAAACAAATGTACACAATTATAGTCAACAAAGCGTTGTTGAGCAACGCGCGTTTGATTGTTGAAAATACGCGCCGCAGGCAACATTGGGCAATTTGGATATTATAGTGGGCGGGGGCGGGTATCTGGGGCGCCCTGGTTTAGTTTTTGAGTCGCACAGTGCCCTTAGCCCCTGACCTGAGTCCTGCACCTTGGGCGAAGCATGTGCGGCATCCGCCTGGGTATTGTAAGTTTAAACGGCGGCGCCCAATAAGGTATAGGATTTGCAAAAAGACGAGGCGCTACTGAGATACACACTACACAGTCGGCTACACACGGACTTTTTTTACTTGACTATGCCAAACGGATTTCTCAGTTTTTTTTATTTGTAATTTTCTACGTAATTGCTATATATATATGTTTTTTTTGCATGGTTAAGGTCCGAACCCTCGCATTACGATCTCAAGTTGATAGTCCGATGACAAATGACATCTAAGTGAGGAATCGATTTCGCTAGAGATCAAACAAGCAACTTCAAATTTTATTACGTACTCCACTTTGCTATGTACCTTTATAAGTATTCTGTTACGCCTGTAGAAAAAATTCCCTTTCTTAAACCTTTAAAGTAAACTATATGTTCAGTCAAGTTGCCTTTGTTTTTTGTATTAATTTTATATGTCTTTGTTTTTAACAGTCCATCTGTAATTCCCATCACATTACCATATGTCAATTCGCACTGTTGCATTCATTCATCGCGAATCACCTCTCATAACAACATGTTCTCATTATTTCTCTCATAAATTAAATATTTTATACCAAAACCCTCGACCTTTTACTCTTTATTGTAATAACACCGCACATTTTTGGTCCTATCGAGCCGCGGATTATATCTACGAACATTAGTGCGACTTTTCTCAAGTTTATTTTCAATGTCTCGGTTGAACGTATTTCATCCATCGTGAAGCCGCCAAAGACAATACAGCACATTTTTGACCTTTTAGGCCTACTCTTTATTGTAATAACACCGCACACTATATAAGTCTAAAACTCTAAAAGCTCTCATTCTAATCTGAATTGACTCGTCTAAAAAAATGTTTTCCCTGTGTAAAAATATTTTAAACATTTAAGTTTACTTATTGTTTACAATATACAAATTAATTCGCTATCATAATTTATGTTCTGTACCATGTTGTTTGAACGTGCTGTTATATTTGTTGTTATAAACATAATACAATACATGCAATTACCTTACCTAACCTCCTTGGCCACTAAAACCTGAGTTTTTGGCCTCGTCAATAAGATGCCAACAGTGCTGCCGGTCTGCCGCTAGGTCATAGAAGCCCCTATTCTGTGTTGATCCTTCTGGATTTGGTCTATCCACCGCAGCTTCGGTCATCCTAGCTGGCGAGTGCGGGGGTTGTCCAATGCTGATCTTCTTCATTATACTTCTTTCTTCTTCTCTTTCTACATAGCCTACTCATCTCTATGGATCTTCACTATGGCTACATTGTCCGGATCTGTGTACTGTTTTTGGGCTTTTTCTTATTCGCCATATGCCTTCTTCATTTACAGGAAAAACAATACATGCAATACTAGAAAACAAAAATCTATATGTATAAAAAAAAAAACAATAAATTAAGCTCGATTGAGTGCTGAGTGAGGCAAGAGTGAGGCACTTATAACAAGGAATTCTAATCATAAATGTGATATTCAGGGAATACAACTCTGAATATATTCAAATGATCTTAAAGTCATTTTAGAACAATGCTAATACAGCCTACCACCATAAAGAATGGGCGGTTTATCAAAATGTCAAACATTGAACATTAGCGAGCTCCAAAAAGTATGTTCCTAGAAGACAAACACGTCAAAAAAAGGGGTAGCCACACCAACGCCCTGCTTCTCTGAACCCTACTTATCAGTTGTTATCTCTCTGTTATCAGTCCAGGCGGTGACCCCTGGGTGACCTCTCGGGCTCACCTTTGCCTTATCTCGAGGCCAGTTGCACCACGTCGCTGTAAGTGATACATTTGTTATTCCCGCCCTTTGATAATAGCCTCAACATGCATTGATGGGCGTGGTTTTCAATATGTTGTAGCCTACCCTTGTAATGATAATCTGTTTAGGATCTAATATAAGTGTAATAAATAAATATTAAATTGTTAATAAAAATTAAGTATAGTTGAACATTTATTTTTCAAGCTCCATTTCCAGAGCTAAAAATTCACAATGGGTTTTGTAATTAAAATCGAATGAAAGATTGATTAATTGAAACTACTTTTAAACAACTTGTTGTTTTACTATTGATTTAAACTACTTGGTGCGTGTGGTGGGCAAATTGGAATAGATTGAAGGAAGGGAATAGTTATTTGTGTAACTAGTGGGCGAAGGTGAGAAAAGTTAACGCACGACCCGTTGGCGAGTGCAGCAAAGGCAGTTGTTTACACTCGTGTTACACATTATATTTTTCCTACAGTAACTATAATGCATAAAAAAATTAGTCTTTCAAACACTGTACAACACGTTTTTAGCTAAGGTTAAATCCACACATTGAACGAAATGGGAAACGCTGCAGCAGCTGATTGTAGTCGTAATATCTTTAAGTGTTGCCAACTTATTTTCAAGCGTATACGGATTAAGTGCATAACAAAAGCACGCTGTTTTGTGTTATTTGGTTGCAATGCGCCAAAGTAAGGCTTTCTGTACTATAATCAGTGCAAGGAAGTCCACTTTGTCGGGTGACTGTAGGAAAAGTAAATTTGAAGCAAGGGAAATCAGCTGATCGTTTTTACCTTTGCTTTAAATCTGAGCATGGGAAACAAATCTTTGATATCAGCTGTTATAGAAAATAGCTACTTTATGCATTGAGTTATGAGAATGATTTATTTAGACAAGCAAAGAGTTTCTGTATACGCATAAAACAACGTTTATTTGCGCAATAAGCCATGAACTGTCCACTGCGCATGTGGGAAAGATAATTCGGGCGATCGGCCTCAAACCAGTTAAGACTGGCTTACCAGCCCTCGAAGATACCATTATAGTTTTAATTGAGTTCGAAGATAAAATATTTCGTAAAGCTATCTTTTTTTGTCTACGTACAAAATACACTTAGTCCTAGCTTTTACACTTGTGACACTTTTATCACCGAAACAGTGCAGCGTTGACAAGTTTACATTAAGGTAAGTTATTTAGAGCGGGTGACACAGAGCAAGGTAAGTGCTAAACGTTGAGACATATATCGACCAATGGTGCAACGCGCTGTCGCTTTGGAGGTCTTTGGTCAAAGGGTTCCAACGTTCCAACACAACGGTTGCTCAACACATGTACGTTACCGCTGTGCGGCGTTACTGTCTATGTCCAATGAGAGCTGTATCTGGCACAGCAGTTATTGTCTTTGTAAAAGTTATGGACGATATATTTTTGTTGTCACTAATCTATATTTTTCCTAAATATTTTTTATCAGAGGTTCTGTGATGTATACGTGTTTGGTTGGACAAAACATACGCTTGGTTGGGCACTTTTCACTTATTTTATTTATTTTATTTTATTTTATTTTACATAAAATAAAATAAAATAAAT